TGTTGTCGCGGCCAAATTATCTAGGGGTGCCAGTCGGTGCATTATGCATGAGGAGGTAAAGGCCACACGGCAAGGCGATCTAGAATGACCACCACTGGATGATCGGCCAGGCGACGCCCGAAACGCGGGTGTGAAAGGCTTTAGATTAGACTAGGTAACCCAGTCATTTGACGAATATTCTACATCATCCGGACGAAGCAGTTTGCAGGGATGTTCACTGATAGTCTTGATGGCGAAATGGAATATAAGCGGATCTCGCGCACTGGTCATATCGACAGACAGGACTTATTGAACAGACTACACAGGCAAAGCTCTGAAATACGGTTAATCCGTATCGTTCTGATATAAAGCCAGCAGTTATTAAGTGCTGTCAATCTCGAATAACCCACCCAAGCGCTAGAAATGCCTCGAAGTTATCATAAGCTTACGGAAACTACAAATCCAATCGATTTTGGCCACACTGAAGAAGTTTAGTCTCGCGAAGGCTATGCTCATGGCCTGCCCTTGGGTCTACATAGTTTAAGATGCCTAGCTGACGGCTGGAACACCAATGTTTGTTTCTAAGTATAGTAAGAATCTCCCCTTATATGACGTGTGTTTTCTTTTAGGGAATTAAAACTTTAACGAGAGGCTTGACGCGAATCAATATTCCAGAGGCATCTATCCTTGCCGTTAGAGTCAAACACGTCAGTCGGCCTTACACCTATGTCACTTGAACCCAATAGGCTCACAGTGCATTAACGTTTTTCAACTAAGAAATTTTAAGTTATCTCTAAACTAAAAGTATTGCCCGTGTCAGGATGATCCTGCTTTTTTGGAGGGGCAAGAATAAATAAACATTATTTTCATTATAAACGGTAGCCTATAGTGAGGATGTCAAATAAAGTATAGCTATCGATAGATTCTGTCCCAGTAACACATGTTTGTAAATAGAGTTGAATCGAAAAGCGAATGCTTAATGAGATTCTATTTCCGTGCGTGAAATTACTTCCACTAAGAATATAAATGGCCTTTTTGGAACATAGGTCCAAGGTCCCTTAATTAATCGTCCGCATCGTTTATACGATAGAATGGGAAGAGTCGGGCATACACATTTCCTCCTAAGATCCTCAACAAATTGATCCCAGTAAGAATGCAACTGGTGTGTTTGGAAACATAAACCCAATACCAATTCTGAAAATCAAGGGGAAAGATCGATTTTTTGAAGTCACTGCCAGATAGAGCAAATGAATTATATCTGCAAGTGAGTTTGCGTTATGGGTCGGGGAGTGCAATACATCCTGCAGTAAATAAACACCTTATGACTCTACGGTGAGTAGTGGCCTTTTGTTAGCACTATCTTACGTGCGATGGACTGCCGTTCCTCTAAATGCCGACAGAAACCCACAGGCTCACAGTCCATCAACAAGCGCAATGATTTGGCGTTCCCACACTGCGTACTGAGACATTGCTTGAGCAAGAGAATCAGTCACGTGGGCAGGGCCGGGCCCAGCAACAACTCTGACGACAGCAAGCATAAATTTCGCGCCATTATCAAGCCCGCATCCAACACGGACAACAAAATCGCGGCAATTAATGAGTCGAAGTTGCAGTGTCAAGCCATCACCGCACAAATTAAGACCCCGAACGATGGTTACAGGAGCTGATAATTATAGTACGCATGCAGATGACGGCTACAAAATCTAAATTCCGTGCAATCTGTGTATGTATCACCCTAATATTTGCATATGATTAAGGAATCTCGACAGAATCCGAAACGTCAGGAAAATAAAATTCTTGTTCTAGTGATCGCGTGTTCTTTTTCTTCTGTTCTTCTAAATCTCCACCACAAACATAAATGTTGTACAACATGCCTACACGTTAAAAGGAGCAGCAAATTTAGGACTGACAAAGCCATATTAGTGTCCAACAATACCCAAA